TGGAATAATTAGAAACATTTTATTTCATATTGCTTCATTTTATGCTGTGGAACCTTCACCCAGCATAACATCACCTCAAACTTTTGTTTACCATAAAGACACATCACAGGTTAAGTTTTTATTTGACGTACAGGAGTTTACAACCAATAAACTTCTAATACACAAGTGACAGGTGTCAAATATGAAGCTTTAAGAACCAAACATGTATTTATTATATGTACACAGTGATAGACACACGTTAAAAAACACAACGGTATCACACCTCGAAAAATGAGGTGATCCTCGAATATTCTCACTCCACAACTAAGAGTGAAGTCTGTATAGCCTGTAGGATTTTAATCAATATACCAAAGTAGCATAATAAGCACAGTCTGTAAACTCCTTTCTGAAAGCCTGTCGCTGTAAAACAGACACATCTCACACATTTCCCCGTCAGTACTTGTACGGGGAACAGGTGGACTGTATCAAGCACAATCCATGTGAACCAACAATCGATGCCACTGCTCCTCAGCATTTTAAAATGTGGTGAAGAACAAAGATGCATGTCTTTGATAACCATTACTTCCTGTTAATATGCCTGTTAAAAAGCCTTCTTTATGTTTGACAAGTTGTCGTGTCACCCTCTGTGGAAAAGAAAACAAAGTTGAAAATAAATTAAAGTTTCAGTTAAAGCTCTCGGCCTACACTGTGGCATAGCAGTCACACTGTTTTGTGTCGTCCTCGAGACTGCATAGGACGCTGGAGAGGCACCGCCTGTAGCGTGGACAAAGTGACATCATCATGACAGCAAGCTTAAAGTGCAAGCGAGCGGACTCCTTTCCCACCCAGCGGACAGACATTGAGGCAGTGAGTTTAGCGAGGGGGAGGTGCAGAGTCCGCTGATAAGTCAGCATCAGTCTCTGAAAGTGTGGATGTCATTGTAGAGGTTGACGGAGGTGCTGGAGTGATAGGTGTGTTTACCACAGCTCGTACCGCAGCTGCAGCGCTGGATCCACATTACATTGTAGAGGATGTCTCCACTGGGGCAGTGGAAGCGGAGCTGCACGGTGCGAGAGAGAGACGGGGCGCAGCAGCGGCCGTCAGTGCAAGTCCCACAGGTCCGAGGCCGATATCGCTGAGCTGTAGAGCATCCACCAAAGGTGATGCTGACTGGCTCGTGTGGGCGGAAGGTTCGCTGACATTTCTTCCAGGATGACAGAGACAGCCACAGTTAAATAACAAATCTCAGATGTTCCTATCGGCATTCTACATCCATCTCCATTTGAGTATACACTACCTTCTTAGTTATGGGAAGCTGCAGGTCACAGTGCTGGATCTGGCACAGTCTGGTTTCTCTGACTAGCTGACAGTCTGGGTTGTGATTGGTCACACGACTTGAAATGCCCATCCCACATGTGGCAGAGCACTGGGTCCACTCAGTGGTCTGTGGGAAACACTGGGGCTCATGTAAGACCTCAGAGAGGGGGAACGATGCGATCTCTGCGTGAGAGCACAATACAGCAATGAAGTCATGGATGCCAGCAGACAATTAGTTACCTTGTGAGTCACTTCTTGGAGTTCTTGAGGGTTTTGTGAATATTTCACATCAATAAAGTCATCAACTTATTTGAGAGTGCTGCTCTGATGATTTACAGTATTTTCAACTTTACCTCTGAATGTATCTGCTCCGCTGGCAGCTGGGAGGGGATTCTGTCGCTGGACTGGCAGCAAAGGACTGATGTGGTTTGGGTGCAGCTGGCTCTCTGTTGGCTCACTCAGCTCCTCGCTGATGCTGTTGTCATCATCACACACCCATTCTTCACAACAGCCACCCTCGGGCTGCGCCAGCCGGGGCTTTGAGCATCGCCACCGAGGCAGGGGCACTTGGTAGGGACAGAGGGGCATGCAGCCCACCACACCATTCATGCAGGTGCACTGGTGCTGGCAAACGGGCTGGAAGTCCTCACCATGCTGGTACACTCGCCCATTGAATGCACAGGGTACGCCATGAGCTTCAGCTGACATAGAAAACAGGAAACTGAGCTGTTAGCAGACACTTTTGAACTTCATGGAAGGATACGGCAAAAACTTAATGAGTCTGTTTGCTGCGTTTTTGTGTTTTTACCTCTCACTTTGTATGTTGTATAGCTTTTTACGTCTCGCTCACAGGAAACACTGCTGATGAACTACCATTTTGGCTTTTCCATGCTTTCCCTCTGTTGTTTATCTATGTAACATGTGTTGAGGCCATCCTCTAAACACAGATGCTGTCAGCTGCCTCATAGTTCACCATTTTCCATTTTCGTTTCCATGCTAAAGCCACTTTTCTAGCTGAAGACTCAGAGTGTTGCTTTGAGTGTATTATAGTGGCAGCAGCTTCACAACAGGAAAACTGTTAGCGTTATCACGTCTGCAGCTTTGATGCTAACATCGACCAATAATCAAGCATCGTCTGTGTGTTAATGTGCTGCTGTGTCACTTTTTCTGCTTTAGTGCAAATCAAACTGACTTTTTATTTCCCTGAAGGTACATGTGTGAAGGTCAAGATCCATGGAATCAAAAAAAACACATACTCATAAAATCTGTAAAATCTGCTCAACCTTTTACTTTTCTTCACACCAGGCCAGCTGAGCAGTCAAAGAAAAGGTTTCTTATGGAGGACGAGCTAAAACAAAACATTTCTGACTGGAGGTCAAAAGAGATGCTGAAGCAATGTATTGCAAAAAAAGAATAATAAATAAGCATGTAAACATTATCTAGTAAAGTTAACCTGAGTAACCTGTAAGTGAGCCTAATATTGGCCCTTCAGCTAAGACGTCATACTCTAGAGAAATACACCAAGAAATCAAATGGATTTCCTATCAGGGAGATTTCATGCTTTTTGAACAGTTTAATGCTCCCTTGTGATCTGTAATGATCCCACAGATTCATAGCACCTTTTATTTCAAATAAATGTTTGCATTCCTGCTTTTTCATTTATTTATTTTCCAGCTAGACCTTAAGCAGCTCCTCCAGAGCCATTAGAGTCATTACATAAAAGTGTCCAGAGTTCCTTTGAAATGCATCTGCAGGGTGTTTGTGGACAGTTGCTCTGTAATTTCAACAGTGTGCATCTACCCTTGCTGTCTGATTCTCGGTACAGGAGCTGTGTTTTTGTTTGTAGCTTTTGTTCCAACATCAGAATAATTATTCCTTTAATGATTTGAAGCTGTGAGCTTTCAATAAACTCCTTGCTCACCTTGACACAGTCCTCTCTCTGGGTTTCCTCCAGCCCCCAGATGGCAGTGCAGCCCCTTGATGTGATCACAAGGTTCTGTCGTGCTGCAGTCCTCATTAAACTGCCGAGCACAAACTTTGCAGCAGCCACAGTCGTCAGTTACATGACTGACGCCGGGCAGGCACAGTGGAGGCGAGGGGGGGCAGGAACATTCAGCTGGGCATGCACTGTCTACCTAAATACCAGGGTCAGAGGTCAGCTCAGACTGATTTTTATTTATTTATTTTTTAAAATGGTAATCAAAATGTTATCTAAAATAACTATATGGAAGATCACAGAAATAAAAAGCATTTAAAGCCACAGAAACTCACCATTACTGCAGCTCTGCCCAGCATAAACAGGGTGAAGGAGATCCGCTGCAAAGCAACAGGACAAAGCATCCTGATCCCAGCAAATAAAGCAAGCAAACAAAAAGTAGGCTTTCACATCCAGATTCCCAAGAGGAAAGAAGTTATTTTTGCAGCTCCAGGATGAAAAGTATCCAGAGGTGAGTTTGGCACCCAGAGGTAAATTTGCCTGTGCCTCTCCAGCAGCGTGGCTCAGCTCTACTTCAGTCAGAGGTTTCTCTCTGCACTTATAGACACACATGCCCCTGCCCTGTGACATCATTACCGCGCCTCTCAGCAGAGCGTCCAGAGAGAGGAGGAGGAGGTGTGAAACACTTACAGATGTGTTAACGTCACAGTGTAATTATGGATGAGTCAAGGTGTCATTAAAGGTGTCACCAGGAAAACCCTGGTTTACAAGAGCTGCTAAGTCCAGGTTAAACTGCTTGTAGTTTTCAGACTGTGTGTGAAAATCGTTAGTTTTCTATGCATGAACACGCTAGAAAGGAAACAGCAGAGGACATACTTAGCACATGAAAAAAAGAAGCCAGTGGTTGGACAGGTGTAATGGAAAACTTAAGGAGGGAATCCCGCTCAGTGAGGCTCAGAATGATTAACTGTGAGAATGGAGAAACTCCCTGTAAACAGCTCTCTTCTACACTGAAGGACAATGTGCTCAGAACATCCTGTGTTCCCTCCGTCTCTTTCCTAATGGGCAGCATTCCAGGAAACACAGGCTTATCCTCGTGTTCCCATGATTGGCAGGAAAAACTCTGCATTCCCATTGTCACCGTGGTGGCACGTAAAGAGTGTTTTGCTGGAGAGCAGGAAAGTCCTTGCATTAAGTTGGCCTAGGCTGTCAAGAAACATGGGAAACTTAATTTGGCTTTCGATAAGGCTGCTGAAGTTTCTCTGGCCTGTTCCTTAAAAGCAGCACTGTGCAAAAGTCCACGATCGTCCCCTTAACGCTTTACATTTTGCACCTCACAGTTTAGTTTGTGAAGCCACTTAACACTGAGCTATGAATGTTTCAAGCCTTACAAAGACACTTAACTCAAGGGATGAACCGGTGTTGTGTCTACACGTAACAGACTATTTTAAATTGTATATACTTTGGACGGTGGGAGGAAGACTCCGGCTTCCTCCCACTGTCCAAAGACATGCAGTTAGTGGGGATAGGTTAATTGGTTAATCCAAATTGCCACTAGGTGTGAATGTGCGAGTGAATGTGAGTGCGAATGGTTGTCTGTCTCTGTGTGTTGGCCGTGTGACAGACTGGCGACCTGTATACCCCGCCTCTCGCCCTATGACAGCTGGGATAGGCTCCAGCGCCCCCCGCGACCCTGAAAAGGATAAGCGGAAGCGAACGGACAGACGGACAGATCTATACTTTGTTACTTGCAGCCTGTGACAAAAGCACGTCTACAAATAACATGACAAGGATAACACAATTCTGAAATAGCATATACATATCTTGGCATGGTGTGCAGTGTGTCCTTACAAAACTTGAGGAAACTGGACACGCGGAGGACAAAAGAAGAAGCAGGTAAAAAGATAAGCTATAACAAAAACTTGAAATCCTTGGCAGAGCCTCGACTATTGTGATTAGCCTGTTCCATTGATTCCTGTCGTGCATTTACAGCTACACTTTTTTTGAGAGTGAGAGAAAAACACTCATCCCCTGAACATAAAGAATAATGACGAAGAAGAAAAATGTCTCAGCATTTAATTTTTTTCTATTTCTAGGCACCACATTGTAATTCACATGTAATTCACCACACAATAGCATAAATGTGAGCAACGTCAGCCACTTATGTAGGTTGTGCTCTAGGCTCTACAAGAGTTCCCCACAGAACTCTGATTCAGTCCTGAGACATAGAACATGGATGAATGGGTGAATGAGACATATCACATCTATCACATCTATCACTCCCAGCATGTAAAGCGCCTTGAGCATCATTAGACCCGGTTTACTTGCAATATTTAACATGGAGAAGAAAGGCTGCTGAAACATCCACAAAGACTCCTTTCATTCCTGCAGTGGACTATTTTCACTCCTGCTCTCAGGAAGGAGGTCCAGGTGTCTCAGGACCAGCTTTGACCCTGGTGCCAGACACCTGAACTGTGACCCAGCCTGATCACATCCACATGAAACAGCCATGAACTGTCACTCAGTGCAGCTGCTTGCTGGCAGTTATCACTTTTCCATCTGCTAATACTCCACATGCCTATGAAGTTTATGTCATCTTTGGAGGATGCTTTCATTCTTAAACTAGCACAGTCCACTGCAGCTCCTATATTATAGTTATACATGCAAATATATTTTACTGCTTCACTTATCTTGTAATTCTGTTTACCGAAATGACCAAGACATTTCAAGGTGTCAAAGATTTCACATTCAGACGTGATTTGAAGACTCACCCAAGCCTCCCACAGCCCACCCTGAGAGCTTCATCAAATCTGAGCATGCTGCAGTGAGCCAGCCTGTGGCCTTCAGCTCTCTTCCTAACAGCAGGCATTGCAGCTTCAGACTGAAGCAGTCATGTTACTGTGTGCAACATCAAATCAAACACAGTGTCCCGACTTATGCAAGCAGCCACCCAGACAGCCCGGCCAGCTGGCTTGTAAAACAACTGGGACGCTGAGCAGCAATGGGAAAGAGGGGGGGGGAAGCACCTTGCTGGGCAGCAGCAGGGAGGTGAGCAGTAGTCTGGATTCTTGGCATTCCTGGCCCACAAAGCCAGGATGTGTGCACTGGCCACGATGTGCATCGGACACTGATGCAGGAGCAGGAGGAGTTGAGGGTGGAGAGGTTGCCAGTTTGGCAGCCTGCTGCCCTGACTGTGTGCCAACCATTGTTTGTCAGCCAGGCAAACTTTTCCAGACCACATGGAGGTCAGGAGGCATCAGGGATTTGTTTGTTTTCTCAGTTCAATATCTGACACCAACCACCAGCCTAACTTCCTATCAACTCCTCCAACAAGTCAGTTTTCCTGCATGAATCAAGCAAGGCAGCACGAATGAATCCATGTCCAGCTGTCATTTTCTATCCTGATATTTTTAGATTCTTTCAATGTGAGACTTCCTGGAAATCTGGCAAACCAAATGGCACAGAAAGAGTGGGGATCACAGTTTCGAAGCAAACAGGAAGTATGTGCAGGATACGTGTGGAGGTGCTGTTGCTTCTGACCACAGCGAAACAAGAAAGACACAACAGGGACCCAGACAGGACCCACAGCAGTGAGTGGATTAGACAGAATTTATATATGTGAAAACTCTGCCCCTCTCACCTGGTGAGGGGCGATATGTATATGGTCTCAGTTTTCTGAGAATTTAATTTTAATTGAGCATTACAGAATATTAACCAAAAATATTAAACACCCCCCCCCCCACATAAAAGCCTCAGGATGCAGGATGCAAGTTTTCACATAACTCCACCATTAAATAGAATATTTGCAATGATTTCTGCAGATGGGTTGTCACTGTTGTTCCCACTTCTTCTTTTTCAGATGTCTGGGTTCGACGTTACCGTTCACATTTTGTGCTACAACATGAAAATGGTAAGAAAAGAGCACACATGAATTTTACATTTTCCCTCAACATGTGGTAGCTGGTAAGTGGCTGAAGGACACTAGAGACATTGTTTGAGACATTGATGGTCATTAAGTGAAACACAGAAGTTTAGTGGAGGTGACCAATGTGAAATGTCTTTATAACCTAAAGCTAGCATTTTATGTCTGGTGCCTGTCTTATCAATATAATCTTCCAGTTCAAAACATATGAAACGTTTTTTTTCATTAATCCAAAAGCCTAAGTGAAGTGGTTCCATAGTGTTGTGGTCTACACAACAACATTTGCCCAACATGTAAAAGGTTCCTGTTTCAAAACTGAGACGAGACACAAATCCCCTGGGGGTTGCATCAGAAAGAGCAGTCAGTGTAAAAGGGAAAGAAGATCATCTGATGTGGTGAACCATGAGGGAGCAGCTGAAAGAACTTCAGTCCTAAAGCCTGCAGAAAAACCCACTGGCTGTTTTGTTGAGGGGCTAACTTGTGGAATTGGGATCTTCATCCCGATCTCACATTTGTAGCAGTTTATTCTGCCCCTAACTACCTTTCATGAACTGGTGTACGCTTTTATAGTGCCAAAGTACTATATAAGTTATATAATATAGTGCCAAAAAAACCCACATTATTATTTTGGGCAATTTATATATAATTTCTTAGTTTTTACCTCCTTAATTTCTTTTTACATTCATTCATTACAGGCTACAGGATTTAGAAGCTGCTGGATCATGATTTAATAGAAGTTAAACTCTTCATCTAACAGCGTTTGATAAAACAGGAAATGACCATTAAAGTAACTGAATAAAAGTTAATGAAAATGTGGGCTACTCCTCCATGTGGTGTCTGCAGGTGTGGCTGTCCTGCAGCTGTATACAAAAGACAGTCATGGTTCAGCTGGCAGCTGCCCAGGAACCAGGACAGAGGGAAGCTGTGGTCTGCACATTCCTCCTCAGCATCTAATAGCAGTGATGACAGCGGGGAGCACAGAGCACTAGCAATAACCTGGCCATTGTGCGTCTGACATGAGCAGGTGTGCTGCAGCTCCTGATGGTCCCACCCCTTCCTCATGGTGCATAGAGAATGCAGCGAGTGGATTTAATCAATTAGTTTTCCTGGGTGTTGTGACTCAACAGCTTCTCTGTGGGCTGTATGTGTAGTCTCCGATGTCTTTAAATTGAGTAACTTACCCTTTTATTAGGTTATATAAACTGGGCAAAAATGAGTGCGTCTCATCGTATCAATGCATAAATAATAAAGAGCATCACCAGGAGCAAATAAGCCCAGAGGGAACTGCTTTTTTTTGTACTGCATTCATGCTATTGACTCATTTAAACCTAGTGATCAGGTTCAAAACCTGAACTTCACAATATAAAAACAAATTAATCAATAAAAATAAAATAACAGAACAATGGTTCCTTAACTTTTGTCATATATACAGTACTGTGCAACCACCTAATACTGAACAGAATTTGCAAAAAAGCAAGGCATCAACCAGTGTTTAATCTATGCATAACAAGCAGCTTGGCAAGAAAAAGAAACCATCCATCTTCTTCCACTTTATCCGAGGCCGGGTCGCAGGGGCAGCAGCCTAAGCAGAGAAGCCCAGACCTCCCTCTCCCCAGCCACCTCCTCCGGCTTATCCGGGGGAACACCAAGGCGTTCCCAGGCCAGCCGAGAGATTTAGTCTCTCCAGTGTGTCCTGGGTCTGCCCCGGGGCCTCCTCCCGGTGGGACATGCCCAGAACACCTCACCCAGGAGGCGTCCTTGTCAGATGCCCGAACCACCTCAGCTGACTCCTAAAGAAAAAGAAACCCCTTTTATTTTTAGATAATTTGTTATT